TTATCTCAGGAAAAGGTATGATAGGTTGATGTGATGGTGGTAGGATGGGTACCTGGATTAGGCAAACTGCCACTATGGTCTTGATCTTGGTCATCGCTTTGGTCCACATCATGGTCATCATCATCATTATTGTCAACTGATGCACGATTAGAGATGATTCGGTCTGCTTTTTCAGTATTCCTAGGATGTATTGTTGACTGCCATTTGTTATCTTCTTCACTGCTGCAGGTTGATGAAAAGGAAGGGGTTGGGCTTGCAGAACCAGGACTTGGAGTAGGTGTTGAAGGAGTTGAAGCAGTGCACCAACGTGCACGGTAACATGAATACACTGACGAAGGATCATTCGACGTTCGAATATCGCTGATACCCTGAGTATTATGTAATGACTTCTTTTCAGAGTTGGATAGATGGTTCTGATGATAGTGGCTATAACGATGGTCATGGTGATGATGACGATGGTGATAATGCTGACCTAAACAGGTGGCCGCTTCTGGTTGTGACTCGTCCAACTCCTTCCACTGCTTGTGATGCTCCCTTGAAGTCTTGTGTGATGGAGTAACGGGTGTGTTTGGCGGGGTGTCCGGACCCCCTTCGGGGCTCAAGCTCTCCCCATCCACTGATGTTTGACCTATCCATTACAGCCCAGTCCCAATCTCCTCGCGATCTTTCTCATGTCTCGCTCAACTATTATTGCGTCCTACGCAAATGCCTAACGACAATGCTGACCAAACTCAATCAAAAACAACTAAGGATCGAACAGAAGACCTATGGAGTATTTAGCGAAGAATTTTTATTCTATTTTTCTTTTAACGTATCTATACATAAATCTTTTTTAAATACAAAACAATTCAAAAGATTTTTAACTCTATATAATCTCTGTAAGAATATTATTCATAATGATTAAATGCATTTCTATTATTGCATGAAAATTAGAATTAAATAATTAAATAGAAATTTTTTGAATTTTTAGATACAACCATAACGCAGGAATGTTCTATTATATATAAGAATGAATTTTCTGTAATATGTAATAATATTTGTTTAATAGAATGCTCTTTGAAATCAAATTTACGACCATTCAAAAATTTTAATTACAGATGAAATATTATACTTTAAAATTTAATAGTAAAATATTGTTAGAAATTATTCATTTTTCTTCTTAATTTTTTAATATTTATTAATAAATTTACTTATAGTCGTTAAATACTCCGATGTTTAACAAAAGATAATAACAAATAAAAAGAAAAACAGAAAATGAAATAAAAAACTATTATACAAATCATATAAAGGAAAACAAAGAAAACAATTTAATAAAAAAACATAACTGAACAGTAAATGAGCAAAGATATACCACAAAAAAAAAAATAAAAAAAAAAAAAAAAAAAGAAAAAAAAAATATAGAGCATTGCAAACAGGCATAAATACTAAATAGAGACTGATAACTAAATTTAAAATTAAAGAACCTCATAGTGACTAATTGGAGCTTGGTGACCACAGTAACCCAAGCAACTCCTTGCGTCCTCTGGAAGGTTTTATTCGTCGATGTGAGTGGTCCACATATCCAGAGATTGAAGTTTTATTTACCAATAATATCATTTGTTTTTTATACACAATGTTGCATGTGTGTTTTAGAAATTCTTAAAAGCTTTTGTTACAAAAATTTCGAAGGTGTACATGTATGATCATTTGTTAATAAAATAATAAGTATAAGGTAGGGAAACAGGGTTAATGTGGTCTGAATAAATTCAAGCAAGCCAAGCAACATCACAGATACAAAAATGAATTTTAGTAGACAGTAAAAATGAAATTCTTAAAATTAAGATCAATAATAAGCACTCTACAAATATATACTAATTTATGGTTTATACCACTATTGTTTTCTATATATAAGGAAGGGATTGTGCATAATCAAATATAGCTAGCCTCAAAGAACTTTTAAGATAATCAAGAAAAAAGAAAATTATTTTTACTCACTAGTAATGGAAATTTACTTTCATGTATGAAATGCATGATATATATGTATATATATATATACATATACATATATATATATATGTATTTGATCTTCTATTCCTTCTTCATTATTGAATATTTACTAATGCATTGTAATGTATATAATGGATTATAGTAAATCTTATAGTGACAAAAAAATGATAATTCTCAATGATGAGTTATGATGAAATGTAAGTGTACTAACAAAGGATTATTATTGACATTCGTTTGTAATACGTAAAAAATAGTGGTACATACCATATTTATCGGTAACAGTTATTACTGTACGCTACAGCAACAAAAATTTTGTCTGCATTCATATAAACAATGATTTCTGTATAATATTTTCAATTTTATAATTATTTAGTGTCAGTGTATGCAGACAAAATTAATAAAGTTTTGCCCTATTGCCTTGTATTTTTTATATGTTAAGAAAAATATGTATCATTAATTTAAAAATTAAATAAAATAATTGACATACATTTAAGATTATTAAATAAATCAGAATCAAGTAGTGTATATGTATTGTGTCGTGTACAGTATTCATTGACATGCCTTTTAGACTTTACAATTTTGCCTAGTATCATATATTTATAAAAAATCGATCGATACCTGTTGCAAGGGTCCAAAATGCAAACATTTTTTTTTTATAAAATGATACAAGAAAATGTCGTGCATTTGATATTATTTTTTAATAGTATCAAATATGAGGATACATTTACTCAAAAAACTATATCAATTAAGAGCTTACATGCAAACATTAAAGAAATAATGCCACTATATACATTTATTAAATTTAATATTTTTTATTTAATACTTTTAAAGAATTTGCAAGTTTTATAGATATAAAGTAATAAAAACTAATTTTCAACTATAATTCTATACAATTTTCTTAACTATATAATTCTTATAAATATCATGTTGGCATGTAAACGTTCAATTCAGTGCGGAATAAGATAAAAGAATAATAGTATGACATTTCCAAAGAAGGGAGATACCTCTATGTGTTTAATATTAAAAAAAAAAAAAAAAAAAAAAAAAAAAAAATAATTGTACTAATTTTGGACCCTAGTAATATTGGATAATTTATTATCCTATTATAGGAACTAAATTATATACAAGAAAGAAATAATTTAGTAAGTATATACTCACTGTTATTGGCCAAAAGATTTTCATGCAGTTTATCTCTTTGGTCTTCTAGAACTTCTCCCAAATAAGTTGCCACTTTACGCGTAACTTGTTCCACGAATGCATCTAATTTTCCAAGATCATCTGACAGCCCAACCAACTGATCTAATGTTCCCACTTTAAGATCAGGTATATGAAACTTGTAATTTTCAGATAAAGAATTTTGCTTTGAAGTTAAATTGTTCATAGTCTCCCATGTCTGTTGACAAGTTTTATCTCCTGGTGCTGATATAAGCCAGTATTCCGTCATCTTGAACAATGCCTTCTAATTCCTACTTTTGAATATCTGAATTTAAAGGGAATAATAATAGCACAGAATTACATATTTCATAATGAACTGCTTAAAGATGTATAATATCATATATAAGATTTATTTCATAACATACAAATATATGAATTTAACAAAATAGTTCAACTTCATTAAAAAAACCTGTAGTACATTAATTTGTGGTTTTCTTGTAAAGAACCATCTGCTTCAATGTTATACATTATGTAGATTATATGACCCATACGTTTATTAAAAAGAAATAATAAAATAACCTTAAAATATATTATGATCGTTAATTTAATTTACGATTTACGCGCATTAAAAAAAGTTCACAAACGAGTTGTCCTTAGATCAACGAATTACAGAAGGGGGTGTGGCATGTAATATACCGTCTGCGCTGAGTATATTATGTAATTAGGCGCGCTTTCCACGTGACGTGCGCCAACTACTACGTGAATGGCGCATGAAACTTACATACCGACAAATATAGAAAAATGAAAAGTGTATTATGAAGAATAAATATAATAAAAAGCGATGTCCTTGAATCAAGAAATAAACTAAGTTCGCTTGTATTAAAGGATACCTGTAACTGTCTTGATGACAATGGCGCCTATCGTATGTACGAACCCCAAGCGCTTATAAAATCAATACTACAACATATCGTTCTCGATTGTCGATGATCTTGATATATGAAGAAAAAGTTTAAAATATTCGATAAAAATCATAACAATATCAAAATATTCCAAAGTGGTTTTAATTAACTTACTCGAGGAAATAAATAATCGCGAGAAATCATAGTTATCTTTAAAATTTGGGTTAACGTCATCGTTTGTATTCATATACAATTCAAGACTATTCCTGTTAATCGTTTTCAATTAAAAACTGGTAATATCTACTTACAATATTTTTCTGATTTTGTTGTAACACGTGTTAATGTGGAAACGTGGATGAAATACTTAAAAGAGCTCAAAAGAGTCGTTTGTTCATCCGGACTTCGTTAAAACAATCAGAAACCATTGTGACCTCACGTGACAGTAAAATTGCGTGCTGCTGCCTCTCGACCCACCCGACAACTAAACGATAAACCCTGTAATGGATCAGCTGACTTACAAAGCGTCTTCTACAAGCCCCGACGCAGTGCTGCCACTTATAAATTTCAAATAACTTTTCGTTTGCAACACGATTTCTATACTGTGAGACAGATATGTAGCGTGATAATAATTATACGTGTATATTAAAGATGTTCCTTATTTAGTCAGCAACAACTGAAAATTTGAAACCGCGCCATCTGACTTCAAAAGTATGGAGTTAAAGTCATAAACACAAGTGTTTTTAGAATGCAGTTTAGAAATCCAAAAAATATTTATTGACCTTCATATATGCTTGATTAATTGCATGTGCTTTTCTTAAATCGTTAAACAAACATTATATACGTAATTATTCATTTATATTAAGGAGCTATTTTGCAAAGTAATTTATTATATTATAAACAATATGATTTATTATTTTTGTTGATTATTTTTTTACAAATTGTAAATTACAATAATAACAATAAATAAATATACATTTTATATATGATTTAATCATTACATTTAAAAATGATCTATTAAATATGAACTGCCTAATTATATCAGAGATAATTTATCACCACACATTAATATTGTTATACGTCCGATAATACCATATATTATAAGAATTTACGTAATGGAATAGATAATCATGAATAGCTATTTATCAGTAGTATTTTAAATAAAGCGGTGCTTGTATTTCATGCGTCGACTAGAAACTCGAATAGTTCGTAATACGTTCGTCGAAGTGACTTGTAGGTTAAAAGAAGAAAATTAAAATAAATTTTTAAAATGCGTGCAGCAATTGCAATATTTTGTGTTTTTTTGGGATGCTGCACTAATGTAGTTTTTTTGGAACTGCTTGTTAAGTGAGTATCGATGTGTTCGCTTTTATGTAGTTTATTTAATGTATAGAAAAAAAAAAAATTATTTTTTACTTACAGAGATGATCCAGGTAGTGGAAATCTTATTACATTTTCACAATTTCTCTTCATAGCCATAGAAGGATTTTTATTCACTTCAAAATGCGGAACTGTAAAACCCAATGTCGGTATAAAAGATTATTTCATATTAGTGACAATGTTTTTTATTGCTAATGTTTGTAATAATTATGCATTTGATTTTAATATACCAATGCCTCTTCATATGATCTTCAGAGCTGTAAGTAAAAATTATAGATGTAGTATATTTGTATCATATAGGCAAAATATCAATTATTTTATATATATATATATATATATATGTAAAATGATTATATATATGTATATATATATATATATATATTATGATCTTTTTAGGGTTCTCTGATAGCTAACATGATAATGGGTATTATAATATTAAAAAAACATTATGCATTGAGTAAATACTTATCTGTTTTGATGATAACTCTCGGAATTGCAATATGTACTATTGTCAGTGGCAAAGATATAAAATCCTTGCAATCTAAGCACGTTGAACATCTTCCAACAACACCATGGGATGATTTTTTTTGGTGGATGTTAGGTATTACATTATTAACTATTGCATTATTTGTTTCTGCTAGAATGGGTATATATCAAGAGGTATTACATGCACGATATGGGAAAAATGCAAGAGAAGCTTTATATTATACGGTAGGAAATTTTATAAGTATATATTATATCTAATAAAAATTGATATGTATTTTGGTATTAACAAAAGATTATTAATCAAAAAATATATAATCTTTTCAGCATTTATTACCATTGCCATTTTTTTTAACTTTGACATCTAATATTAAGGATCATTTAGTATTGGCAATGGCATCAGATCCATTGATTATACCTGTGATTAATTTATCTGTGCCAAAATTAATTGCTTATTTAATTGGAAATGTTCTTACACAGTATCCTTATAATATTTTATATTCATTATAATTATATAATTATACTATAATCATACTCATAATACGTAACATATATTTTCTCTTAATTGATTTTACAGATATATTTGCATAAGTTCTGTATTTGTATTAACAACAGAATGCAATTCACTTACAGTAACATTGGTAATAACTTTACGAAAATTCCTTTCTTTAATTTTTTCTATTATTTATTTCAAAAATCCATTCACTGTGTACCATTGGATTGGTACATTTCTAGTCTTTGTAGGGACAGTAATATTTACAGAAATAATACCAAAAATCTCTCAAAATCTGCAATACATTACAAAAAAAGAAAAAGTACAATAAGAAAGTATATAGTCTCAATTTTTTATTTAAACGAAATTGTGAAAATAAATGAATAAATGAATGGATAAGACATTTTCTCGTTAAATACATTATGGAGTAATATACAAAGTTAGTTTAATAAATTAAAATTGTAGTTTTAGCTAAAGAGTTTAAATTACTAATGCTGCTATATCAGAAATATATCTGAGAGTATTTATAAATATATTTTATAAGAAGTATATTAAAGGGTTTAATTGATATGGTATAAAGTATCGTAATAAACAAATGAAGTATTATTTCTTTCTAGTTCTTTACTTTTTGTTTTGCTAATTAAATAAAACGAAAGTAATAATCTTATATCTGAAGTGTACTATTCCTAATAACATAGTTTTTGAGGTTTATAAAAATATAATATAATAAAAATATAATAAGAAAAAATATTACTAAAAAAAAATATATTATAACAAATATTATTAAAAAATGAAAAGATTATCACACATTTGTGATAATTTCTTTAATAGATTAATTTAATATTTACTAATCCTAAAAATCATACAAAATAACATTCCACAGCCAAATTAGTTTTATAACTCTACTTATGAAACAAATAAAAATGTCAATATATATATTTAATGAATATACATTATAATTACAATGTAAATAGAAATGTTCCTATTTTTGGATTAAAAATTTTTGAATTATTATTATTAATGTTAATGAAGAAATAAATCAAGTTTTAATCAATATGTTAGAACGTATTTGTATTTTGTAGAATATACTCTATATAATAAATACATTTTATATATATATATATATATATATATATATATATATATATATATATTTCCATTTTTCTCTACAAAAAAATTCGTTTAAAGATTGTTTATTAAGTTACATTATAATATCGCATCATTATATATAGATATATAAATATAGGCTCATTAATAAGACGATTTTTTTAAATTTGCACCAGCAGAATTAATTGGGTAGAACTTAGTAAATTTGAAAAAATAAATAATAGTTAGAATTTGATATATGCATATAATATTTAATAACAAGTAGTCGATCTTTGATAAATCTGTTAAATTAATAATATTTTAAAATCTGAAATATAGAATTTCCATAAATATACATAGGTATGTGCCAAGATGAAATAATTTGTTTCGTATAAAAATTAGATTTAATTACAAATTCAAATGATTAAACTTTATAAACAATTATGATATAAACGTATAAAAATATAAGAAACTAAAACTTAAATTGAAGAAATAGTAACATTATTATCAGATGTGGTTAGAGTGTAAAAAAGAGATTTTTTTTTCTTTTATATAAATTTCTGTTTTATAGCAAATGAATTTTTAATAAAATTATCAATCTTAAGAAAATAAGAATATTTCTGAATAACTAATTTTAAATTGGTCAACACACATAGATCTAAGATTTCATTCCATTACTTTTGCTCTTTGTGATAGGATTTCAAAGTCTTTTCTGAACAAAAAGACTTCAAAGATATTGCAAAAGACATTTCTATATAAGATCATTATAATTAGTTTGTTTACTTATACATAACAGTGGAAATATGTGTCATAAATAAAAATATAATATTTGATACCAAAAGGTATATAAAAGGTATTGTCAGATTCAGTTTAACAGACACTTTGAGAAATATAATACAGTTGAATTTTTTTCGTTTGGATTAAGAAATATAATCAGAAATATTGTTTTATGTTAATTTAGATAGAAGATAGTCTGCCTATAAAATATATCATATACAAATGCTGAATAAATATTGTAAGAGAAATCAAAATAATTAATTCTATTATAGGAATCACAAACTTACCTGTTCCATTATAATTTTGTCCATATTTGAATTAATTCATTGCAAGAAAAATGTTGTATTGTTATAATACATTTTGCAAAGTTAACCAAAGTTAAAATAGTATAGATTCTGGTTTTTCTACGACTTTACAAATATTACATAATTCGTCGACCAGAGTTTCATATCTGTATGCCACTCGTATATCCGGTACGTTAGTCCTAGTAATATCATTACCAGCAACACCTTCTTTTGTATAATTTGGGCCAAGCCAATATTGTTTACTCTATAAAATAAATATGTATCTATATAAAAAATATTACACATATATAAAATATATACAAAATACTATTACGTATACAACAAACCTTGTGTGGGAAACCACTCATAAGAACTGAATTACGGGCTAATTCACACATATCACATGAACTGAGCTTCCATACTTGTGCTGCAATACTATATTCCTCCATTAAAGGCTCCTATATGCAAATCAAAATATTTTAGGAAACGTGTAGTAATACAGACATTATAATAGATGACTTTTTTATTTTATTTTTCCTTACTTTCGTGAAGTGAAATTGTAGAGGATCATCTGTTGAAAGACTTACACACAATCCTCTTGCAAGGTATTCTGGAAGAGGATTACGATGATAATTCAAAAAAAGAGAATTGTTACTTAAAGGAGACATGGCAATGCCAATTTGTGCCAAATAATACAAATACTGGAGTACGGGAACTTTTCTTAGCAAGAGGCCATGAGAAATATTTTCTGCCATCATATAACCACAAACAAGATGTTGAATTGGTCCAGCTTCTCCACAATGAGGGCGAAGAACGAAAGTATTTAAACCTTGCTCCCTGTGAAATAAATCATCTATATTTTCAAATGGTTTTTATAAAGAGTTCTTTTTTTATTAAAAATATAACTTACGCTCTAAAGTGATTCAACACTGTCATGTTTGCATAGGTATAATACTGGTAATATGCGTATGGAGGATTTTCAATGTCATCCCATTCTTCTGGGGGGCTAACATCTTTGTCAAATAATGGATTTTCAGGCTTACTTTCATCATCTACAGAATCAAAACCTATCACCTATTGAAAAATATTTTATATAATTCCATGATAAAAATTTTCAAGTAAAGCATATGATATTCAAAAAAGTTCAACTTACATATTGTAGAAACTTATGTAATTCAGGATGTGAATGTGGATCATTAGTTACTTCAAAAAGAGGTAAAAAGATATTATTTAAAATCTCTTGGAAGTTGGTCATAAGTTTATTTAGCTTGAAGATGTCGCTATAAATAAAGAATAACTAAATAGTATTTTATATATTTTTATGTATGCAATAAGTAAATGATAGGCTTACTAAAGTCTTGGAATTTGAATGAGCCAGCGCACATTGTCCGAATAAACATCGCTCTGTATCGCCCATTTAGCTAACTTATCCCATTCTTCAGGATTTTTTCCATAAATGGACAGTCGTAATTCTGCATTTTGATATTTCGATTCTTCAAGATCGCTTGCCACTTCTTTAATTATACTTGCAAAAAATTTACCATTAAGATAATTATCAGTTTTAAGAAAAACTTCACGAAGTCTGCTTTCACCAATAGGATTATATTTAGCATTGAATTTATCGAACCTATGAAATGTGTTTCTATCCTGTGAAAAACAAAAAAAAAAAATAAAAGAAAGAAAGAAAGGGGAAAACATTATTAACATTTTTTGTATAATTCTGTAATCCAACAACGTTTGAAAACTTACAGCATGTACGTCTAGCATATCTACGCTTAAATCGTATGTTGTTAAATTCATTGATTGGAATACTTCGCTCAGTGTCATAGTCTCACCATTTTTCGAACACGTAACAATTTCATCCGCATGATTCTTTAATGTTTTCTTTATAAATCTAAGAAGATGTTTTTGATTCATACAGGAAGCCGCATGAATATGTGTATCGACCTTTCTTATATTATAAAAGTCTCTATGTGGAACAGCTTTCTGACTAGCCAACTCTCTAAGTTCATTCAACAAAACGTGCAACTGGTACTTGGATGAGAGATAACTCAATCTTCTATAGCAAAAAGATTTTAAAGGACCGTCGGCGATCATGGTACAAAGAAGATTCATGTCCCTAACAAAGGCTGCTAAATCTGGATAGGAATATGGAAGTGGTTCTCCATTTTTCGCGTCCTCTTCATTAGCGAAAACATTGAAAACACCATTTATGGGTAAAATTGTATAATTTTTTGCTGGTGGGAATTTGCATTCCCAAGGATCTCCACGTGATGCAGGTGCATGTACCGGATGATCTGTGATATCAATAAATAAATGTATCTTTATTTTTTCAAATATTTTTAAATCTATTGTCTTTTTAATGATTTCATACGCGTACCTGCGATAGCTTTACGATCATCATGTTGAACTTCATCATTCGAAGTAACAGGTCTTTTATCGATGCTACGTAAAAATTTGGTCGTAATAGAAGGAAAACTTTGTTTAGAATTATTCATATACTTTTCTCGTATCACCAAGGCTTGAACGAGCATTTGCGATGCTTGTTGAAGATCTTCCAAAGGTACCTAAAAATATATATGAAATGTAAATTAATATAGAAATGCCTTATTTATATATTAATTTTTGCTGATCTTCCGATCTTTCTACGGGTTTGTCTAGAACCCATTAGATAATAACGCGACACCTTGTGAACTTACTGAACCGTTCAATAATGAAGATAAGTTAAATGTGTGTCGATGATCGATTAAAGGGGATATCACGATGTATGTTATTTTTGAACATAACTACATATGTACATTCAATGTCCATTGTATTATTTTATTTTTGTTCAATCAAACGAAATCCTTCTAAAGATTGGTTTTTTTCTTTTTTTTTTTTTTTTTCACATTATTTCAGATAGCCCATTTTTGCGGGGAAGAAAAAACATGAAAGCATAATAGGCAAAGACTTGTGTTTGACAAAGGTTTCTTGAGTGACAATGCACACACAGGGTTTCTTGACCAAGTTAAGTCTCAAAAGAGACATATGACGGGTGTCCCTAATTCTGTAGATCAATTTTAGATAATGTAAGCAAGAAAGCTTTTCTAGTAATATTCCTTTCTTTTTTTTTTTTTTTTTTTTCTTTTTTTTTCTTTTTAACTTACCCCCGATGTATCTTCTCCGGATATTGAAACTCGTTGAAAATGTGGCACAAAATCATTTTCCTCGAAATTAAACGAGGGATCATCAACGTAGTCGGGTACTCCAGGACCAATCGACGGTTCATAATGACTGCGTCGCTCTTCGAGATCCTTTGCGGCTCTATATATATATATGTATATAAAAGAAAAAGAAAAAAAAAAAAAGAAAGAAAAAAATATATGTCAAAATTCTCAATAAAAATATAAGCAAAGGAGGAAGAAGCATCTTAGTGGCAGCGTTTTGATATTTAAAAATCAACGCAATTACTTGGCATCTCATGATAATTATGTTACTCTATCAATGTCTGACGAAAGTATCAACGAAGGAAATAATTATTATGGCATTAGAATGATATAATGAATAGATACACGGCTTAACTGAAAACTATTTTATGGAAATAATCATATTTTTATAGATATCCTATTGAATGATCATATCTTATTTTGTGAGTCAGACTTTATCGCAATGCGATATCTACTCGATGTATTATAGTATATCGAAGAATGTTGTTCTCAACGTGAAAGGACAAGGATTCAAGCTTCATAAATATATCTACTTATTTTCTCTCTTTTTTGCAATTACAAATATCTTTTGATTTACCTCAGAAGTATGGTATTATCCCGTAGCCATCTTTTTGATTCGTTTGCACCAGCAAACATGTTACGTATTCCTATTTTTATTTGCGATTTTTCGTGTTTCAAGCGCGTCCTCGAAGACGCACAAACTTTTTTTTAACACAAAGTCTTTTTACAAATGGATCTATTTTATTTATGTTAAATACAAAAATTTTTATACGATTTAATTACTAATAATACTTTGAAAGTCCTTTTTCTTATAACTACACTGTTATAGCATTTAGAGAAACTTTCTTATTGTTTTGTATGAATTATTATAATTGCATATTCAACGAATTTAATAATCCATGATTTTAGATAATCTACTGAAGTATTTAGTGCATCCAAACGTATGTAAGTACACCTGCAGTTATAAATAGCGTGTAGTGGGGAGTTTCTTCTCCATGCGGCCAAGTTTCCCTATCAGTCATATGTTATCCTTCACTTATTTTGTGTACGCGCGCGCGTATGTATGTGTACGTTAGTTGTGCTCTAACTTATGTAAACGTAACTATCACATAATGACATCTCGTTGTATAGTATAAAATAAGCACGGTGGAATAACATATGATTGACAGAAAGGGAACCTTCGCTGTAAAGAATTAACAATGGCAAATGTACACATTTGAATTTTGTATTTGTAAATATTAGTGCTTTCTAATTAACGCGAAAAATCAAACATGATAATGAAAGTAGTACCTGTTGCTATAACATCACCGTTCCCTTTGATAATTTAAATCGTACTTGGTTCTCGATTAACCACGTGCGATCGATCATTGAATGCGATCTATCAAACATTTGTTACATCTACCGTGTACGTCATAATATATGATTATCAGTAAAAAAAAAAAAAAAAAAAAAAAAAAAAAAAAAAAAAACACATAGGAATCCTATAGATTCTTAACACTTATAATACTCGTGCATAAGATGTTGTGTCACACTGCAGTAAAAGAAAAGAAACCGTCCAATGTCAGGGTAATGCGGTAACTCGTCGTACGATTATAATACCCATCTAATTTCTGCCACCCTTAACAAGAAAAAAGAAAAAAGAAAAAAAAAAAAAAAAAAAAGAAAAGAAAAGAAATAATGACGCAAGGTGAATCTAATCTATATTCTCACGATCGATCGTCAAAGAAAATTCGAGACATAGCGATAAAAGAACGTTAAAATTCACTTCGACGTTTAAAGAGAATACTTCGAATATTTTCTTCTCGTTAGAAAGAGAAGGAACTTTCACAGCGAATGCTTGCTTATAAATGCAATAAATCTTTATTTTCTATCATCAAACATTTCGTTACTATTATCTCTTCGTGTCTCCTGCATTTTTTTTTTGGATCGAATATCACGGACGATATAGTAACTTGTACGTCCGATCGCGTCAACGTTCGCGCAAGTACTGAGAACGATAGTAGCCGAGGGCAAATCACCAGCAACCCCTTCCTACTTTCGTGTCGTATGCGTTCCTCGTATTATGTGTAAAACCGATACAGCACTATATACTTCCGTTTATACGCTTCTCATCCTTCTCTACGTTTCCACTACTTTCCAATCATATCGTCACTATATTCGTTTCAATTATGGATTTCTCTAATCATTTATATATAAATAAGAAACGCAGCGAGTCGCATTAGTAATGGTAAACGTGATTTTATCTCGTAGAAACGTGAAATATCTTACATTAGAAAGTCGAATGTTACACGTTAATTAATATACCATTATGTTAATTAATACAGCGATTAAATAACTTCTCCAATTTCTTGTGAATCCTTTCAAGAAAATTATCGTTATGCTATATTACGTTCAATTGCACAAAGTGAATATGGTACAGAAAAAAAAAAAAGAAGAAAAAAAGAAAGAAAGAAAAAATTAAATAAAATACAAATAAAAAAGCAAATTCTACCCATTATTGCTATATGCATGTATTTCTATCTTGTATAAACTGACATATTTATCTTTATTCGTTTTTTTTATTCTATCAATATTGACAATTGATAACTATTATACGCAATAATAAAACAACAAGACGTAAACGTAAAATTATACTGAATAAAAAAAGAATACAATTATGGGGTTATATGTACACATATTGCCTTCGATGTATGTATATTATACTTATATAGACGAAGATGTATAAAGGCAGATAGGTAAAGTTATATCGAATAGCACGGAGCCTAATCATGCAGGCTCCGTACTGAATTATTGATCGCGACTTTATAACACATACAGAAGAATAATAATAGATATACAATTGGCAAGAATCCTTGATCATAACGCATACGATGTATGTATTACAATATGTAATCGATTGAAGAATTTAAAAATATATTAGGATAAAGAGGAACTGATATCTTTATACTTTTTCTCTCTCGTACACGCAATATATACGCATTATATATCTTTATTTCTCACTTTCACAGTTTCTATACCACCATGAAGAAACAGTATTACGCAATGTGTGTATACATGCAAGGTGATAGGATAAAAGCGCGACCTCGTTTCAAGATTCTTGTGTTGAGTTTTCATGAATTCCGAAGCGACCGTGGGATCGATTGGTGTACATATTTCAAGGTTACACAACCTTGTAAACAATCGTTATAATTTGTTATACATTCAACGTTAGCTTGTTTTTTCTATGATAATAATACATACGGCAATAGGATTTAGACTTACTTGACGGTGAGCTGTCTTTGAATGAGGAGCTTCTTTTCGATCTGCTCGATCGGGAATTGTGGTACTTCGTAAGGCGCTGAGATTTCATTTGGTAATTCTTGCGGAGCAAGTCTCAAGGAAGTACCACCACTTGCTCCACCACCTTCGAGACCATAGACGGGACTTTCGCTACCTGTAAGAAAAAAAAAAGGAAAAGATATTTTAGAAACTCTACTAGATATAAATGGAATATATAATTGGTATGTGAGAACGAAAGCAAAAAAGAAATATTTTTTGAGAGTTACCAATATCTTTTATTTGACCGGTTTTCTGTAACCATTCGGTTACGGAATTACGTTTATATCCCGTTAAAAATTCATTATCACTTCCCAGTACCATCGTATATAGATATATCCCCGTAATCTTTCTATAATAAGTTTTTTTAGAAATTCCACTTCGGTTATCGTCTTAACTTCGACCGATAAAATCTGACCGTTGAAACATCAATCGTTGTTAAGAAGCTAGGAATAAATTAAGATTTAATTATTATTATTATCGCGCAATACTCTCGACATTTTGTAATCGATCGGTACAAAGTGCAATAGTAAAATATATATATTTTTTTCTTTTTCTTTTTTAACAAAATCTGAGAAATATATTAATCGACGTTTATAAATCGTACAGCTTCGAATTCGATCGGTCTTTTAAAGTTTAAACGATCTTCATAAAATACCTAGTAATAAATCTAGAATGATGATTGTTGCACGTAGAAACCAATCACATAGTCTTAATAAATCGGAAAAATAATCAAGTTATCGTAAATCGATAAAAGTATGAAATGAATGCACTTCAACGATTAAAAAGAATGGCACGTGTAAAATACGAATCGAAGTTCTTTCTTTATATAACAAAAACAAAAAAAAAAAGAAAAAATAAAGAAAGAAAAAGGCAAATGTATTTTCCTTTATGAAGAATTATAATTAGAATATTGTTCACGACGTATGCGTATGTATATACGTATATAAGTGATATACATACGTATGTACACACAATTGCTAACTAGTTAACTAAAACAAACACTTGTAATTGTTGAACACTCATTCAAATTTACTCGTGTCGCAATGGCAAACTCTTTTTACGTGTATTACCAACGATTATTCGAAAATTCACTTCTTATTTCGTCTCTTTAAAAGACGCCATAAGAAACTGGTTCTGTAGTTTATAGATCGACGCACGCGAGCATAACTATTATTAGAAATAGTAGGGATAGATTATGGCGTGCGCTCTCTTCGAAGGAGTGGCAATTTCTACTTTTTTTCTTTTTCTTATTACTTTTTTATTTTTTTTTATTTTTTACTTAAAACAATTAAACTCGAGAGAAAATTCACAAGTAGCAAAGAAAAATTTGTGAAACGAGTATATAGTATCGATTAAAATATTTTTTAATAAACCGTTCATTTATTAAAAGGAAAGATATGTGTGTGTGTATATAAAATCGTATATTTTAAATATTAAAGCAGATATATAATTATATCTGATATTAACGAAGCTCGTCATACATCATTGAAATCAAAATGAAAATTTTAATATTTATTCGAACGTAATAACCTTTTTTCGTTGCTGATAATACGTCGAAATGATCAGTTCGTATCAGATAAAGGTTATCAAATCAGCAACGTTCGATGTCGAATTTAAGACACGATTAAATATAAAAATATCATTGCCAGATAGAATGAAAATTGTTATTTACTCAAGCTAATGAATCCTTCTCTATAGACGGATTAAAAGATGAAAGATATTGTGAAATTAGATTTAAGATTCACGTAGGAGGACATTTAAATATTTTCACGAAAGAAGGACGCATATTTTTGATGTACACTTCTCTCGAAAAGACGATATAATGACAGATCGATCTTATAATAACTGGGATGATTCAAAGAAGATGTAAATCGACATAAACAAAATAGAACACGATAATATTTATATCGTACAGTAATAATATTCTAATCGATAAATTAGTTAAAATCGAAAGTCACTTTATCGAACTAAAGAGAAATACAATACGAGGAATATGTTTATCAAAGAAAGACCGTTTCCTTTTGCTTTTAACTACACACTTACGAACGAGATATGTATTTATTACGGCACGGTACGTGGAAAATTACATTCCTAAATCTAGAACGGGTCTAGAAAGGTCTTTCATCGACGACTATCTATCGTCGTTTCAATGTCCTTTCAAGAGTCACACCGAGAAGACGTACTGTTGAGGTTGTAAACGTTGAGATCGATAAATATCAATGGAATTTCTAAAATCATTCAATATATATCTTAAAACGAGAACACTTTTGTTGACCGAACAATAACTATTTTAATAACACACACTTAATATTGAATCTCGAAAAGAGAAAAGAAGAGTGGAACGAATTCAGTTTGTGTTTGAGAGGTCGGTGACCATGTTAACTGGTCGCAAGTGTCGAATACACTGACTGTAGCGTGAAGTTGGCACTTGGTAGACATCACAGAATCCGTACGCGAAACACAGTAAACACGCACATGGGGCACAAGAGTACGTGGAATGTGTAAGGTGCTACCATCCGGGACATTGTGCCAAGATGCCGTGTTTTCTTTTTGGTAGCGCCACGGAGAAATCTTGAAATCATTTCTCTCTCTCTCTCCTTCTATTATTTATTTTTTTATTCCTTCTAATGGCCATTTTTTCATAGAACTATCGTACAGAGTTGATAATTAATTTCAATGGCTAAAGATATCTTTCGGTCTATGTTCCAATTTTTTTTTCCCTAATTTTTTCGTTATTTATCATGAGAATAACAATTTGATGAACGATTGATGAATTATTATTATTATTATTATTATTATTTTATTATAATTTAGAATATCTCTTTGTTTATATAAACGCACATCTACGTCGGAACAATTTAACACAGAATTAAGTTATTTATATATAAATTTAAATATATGCATATATATATATATATATAAACTTGATCATTCTATGAGGATAGATGAACAATGTTGCTGTCCGATAGTAAGAACAATCAATGTTCAATCCCTTTTCATTGCTCGACAAGTCCTCGTCTATACTGATTTTCCATAAATACTATTTAGTAAAATGCGTATTGAAACATGTCCTTTGTACATTTATTAATAAATTTAAATCTCATGTATAACACAAAAGATATTTTAATTTAAGGTAAAATTTTATCGAATTAATGATTCATTGAATACTCATTAATAGATTTTCGAGAATATGTTTAGCAACGCAATAGACTATATATAAAATGCATAGTATATTTGTATACTTAAAGTTAATGTAGCCAGAAAGAAATGGTTCTTGGGGATTGTTCGAGTTATTTCATATTTTTCTCGTGGAAAGTCTTCCCAGTGAATCAAGTTTTGGCAACGAACCAAAGTCTCCTTTCTCGATGAGACTCTTCTTTGCTTGCTAGTGAAAAAGATCAATACTATCCCTTGGCATCGTTATCTACGTACGTACAAAATTCCTTATGTACTCAGGTTTCCTTGATTCTTCGAATATAACAAATTTTTGTTTTTTTTCTATCTAAGTGTTTGATACGTATATCAGCCTTCAATGTTTATCTTCTACCTGCATACTCTTGTGTTTTGTAGTACGGAATCGCTATAAATAAACATATGTACGTCGTCGGACGAAAATATCAACGAGAAATATATTTTCGTAATACGCACTCTATGCTAGTGACATTCAAGGATAAATTCGCATTTAACGTAGTAATGTTTACATTGAATACACGAAAACATTTACACAGCGTTTGTTAAATTGAAGAGATCCAAGAGAACGCTTTCTTTCGTCATTAAACAATCTAGATATTTATCTAACGAATTTATAGAAATTTATCTTCCTTTACAATAATGAATTATATAAAAATTCTCAAGTGGTCGTTGAATATTCATTTATATTTTCGTTCAATTGCTTCATCGACACTAGTACACTGTAAGACGAAAGAAAAGAAAGAAAAAAAAATAAAAAAAAAATAAAAAGAACATTGTAACAAATACTCTGTACTTCGTCATCGTGAAAAAAGAATGTTTGTTATAACAGTTATGCTAATCTCCGTTGATAAGTTATAAAACGTTCCTAGTCATAAACAGGTTTTACTCATATATACCTATATGTATATATACATATACATCTCGGCAGAACGCATAGTAAGTATGACAGCTCGTTTGGCTCGTTTCAATTTTATAAAGAATACATATTTTATAAAAAATATATATATAAATATATATATGTGTACATTTAAACTTCTAAAAATAATCATGAAATAAAAACGTCTACCTGTTTTACTTGGATGAGATTTTCGCGCTATCGTTAAATCCGTTTCGTACATAATAGTTCCTTGTTGAAGATATTTCAACACTATCGACGATTTATCGAATAATGACATTATTAAAAATATCTTCTTTCCGATTATAAAAATATATCGAGAACAATGATAATACGAGCGTTAAGGAAAAGAGAGAACGATAGACTTATATCGACTTAGTAGACTTATAACGACTACTTGCTTATCGTTAACAGAAGAATTTTTTTTTCTTATCAATCCCCCACTTTTAATTCTCTTTCAAGCATATTGTTTCAAATAAATCATTTATGAACTTACACATATATATATATATATATATATACACCTTCTCATCAAGTGACGATGTATGTATATAGTTACCTATCTACCAATACGAAACGTCGTTGATAAGGTATCGATAGTCGCATTAAAACCAGTCTGATTTCCCTAGTCGACGAAAATAGCTACATGTAGACGGTCGTTTTAAAAGATCACTTACGCAACTTTAACGCGTCGAATACGTTCAATGACAGTTTGTTTTCAATGCGATTGAAAATGATACGATTATATTACATTCAACTCTGCGTTGAATATCAATAGTTTTTTCTTTTTTCTTTCTTTCTTTTTTTTTTATTTGTACAACGAAATCTATGAAAATGAAATTTCCACAGTTACCTTCTTCGGTATCGACCAGGAAGATTGACGGTAGACGAATTCCAAGAAAGGTTTCGTTTTCCGTTGTAGTGACACCTCTGCTTGACATTTTTTTCGTTAAGAAAAATATATTAGACCGGTTTACGTGCGATTATAGATTGGAACACACTACTTTAATGAACGAAATTGTACATCTATTTGTACATTTATACGCGATGACCGATAGTTCTTACTTTCGACGTGGCTCGTTATATTGTATAGCAAACAAATAATTTGTTTAAATAAGTGACGTAAAACTACGTTTTACATAATACTATTCGGCTGATTGAATGATTGGTCGTTTTACACTTTGCTTTATTACTTAACGACATAACACATATCCCCTAAATGTTATGATACATACTATATAAGTAGCAAATATTATATTTGGAAGATAATAGATACGAAAGATTCAGTAAATAATTATTCAATCTTTCACTTTCACTTTGTTCAGTATTATTTTGTTGATTTAACGTAATATCTATAAGAATCTTTTTAAACAAAATGTATCATCGATAATACTGTTATTAATCAAATTTAAAAACTGTACGTATATATTACTCGAGATTAATATAAAAATTTTTTAAAAATGTCCAAATACAAAGTAATAATTGTCTTTTGAGATAATTAATTTTAAATAATGATATTTAACGCGTGAAGAGACAAGATCGCGAGTGATGTGTACTGACTGTTCGTGGCAGTCGAACTGAACTATACTAACGCGAAACTAACGAGAGTTATTTTCTTTCTGTTCATCTACCGACACCTTCGGAGGATCCCGAACTCAGTTGGAATAAGAGACAGTGAATATTCTGACATCGTCGAAAATACTACAAGGAGAGAAAGAAGAAGAAGAAGAAGAAGAAAGAGAGACGAAGAAGAAACGTGTGCAGGCTTAATGCCAATCATAAGAAAGATCTGTTAATAAATCTTAAAATCTTTCCATTTTATATTTAGAATATTTAAGAATTATCCCAAAACAATTTACTATGTTTTCATTAATTGTAAGAACGAACCAAGTGGAACGTTCATTAAAACCCGTATATTTCTATTTAATAGAAAATTATTCAAAGAAACTTACGTAAATGTGCATACATTATTAATATATTTATCGATTAATATATTGTTTTTAAAAGATTATACAATTTCAATCGGTAATTTCATCAACACTTAGAACGTCGTTATCATCACGTTCGCCGACAATTTTACAATTAAACGAGCATCAAATATATAATTCTTATCGTGACAACAGATTATGAATATCCATTAGATTGCTTATATTATCCCATCTTTCATCGCACGAAAGGTAAAATTGATGAGAGTTCGTGAGGTTTGCTTAAAGAGTAAGAAATCGATATATGTATTTATATATCTACGTAAGTATATAAAGATGAATAGAGTTAGAAAACGAAATTGATGCTAAATGATCGATTGTAAGTTTATTCCCTTTTTTTTTTCTGTATTACATTCGTCATTCTTTTATTTCTTTTTTCCTTTTTTTTCGGGACAATTTTTATTTCATAATTTAAAAAGAAAATTCATTTGTTCGACTTACGACCACGTTGATCAACATTGTGTCCTGGTGTCGTGGAACTATCGGCATCACCTTCGCCATCAAGTTCGTAATAAATCCTGTCGGTTGCAACGTTAACGTCTTTTACTCCGTTTACATCTACTACGCCATTCAATGCAACAGTATCCTCCATATTTTCCCTGTGGACATTCGTTTTTTCGTATTAACGCGTTACAAAATTGATTATAAAGATAGACGACGATGAGTCCATTCAAGACAATAATATGGACTATGATGAAAAGCAAAAAAAAAGAATAAATATAGTACTACAATTGTAACCTTCTTTTTTCTTTATCTTCAAAGGAAAGCAAAGAAATAAAACTAATTTTAACGAAGCTTACTATCACATAATTATAGGATAACTAAATCTAATGTCGCATTTGTAAAAATGTAATGATAGTTGAGTGAAGAAAAATTAAAATGGATAATGCAATTATCATTAATACGATTTAAACTATATTCTATTTTTCTTTCCTCATAAGATTTCATTGTTTGTCAATGATCGTTTTATTACTTATTTCATTGTTAGTTTACAAATTCTAAAGCGCTCTTATAGAGACCCTTGAATTCGTGTTCTTTTAATAGATCATTGAGAAGTTAATTCAAGCTCGTTAAATTACACTGTAAAAGGGGAGAGGTCTCTAATTTGATTACTGAAAAAGGTTAGATAGTTATACTATCATGATAGTGTGAATCTATATTATTATTTTTTCTACAATAGAAATATTCTCAGTATTAATGTAACTTCCAGCGTATACGAATTCTTCGAAATTAATAGATAATGGAATCAATATTGTTGAACTTGTTACTCATTCTATACTTAGAAAGTATTAGACTTGCATGAAATAATGAAACTACTACTTTAATCAATTTCTGCTAGAAGAATGCTTATATATATATATATATATTAAAGAAAATAGTAAACAAATCTTATTAAAGTATAAATCAATAATTATAAAAATATCAAGAGGTCACTGTAATTCATTCAAGATATATATATATATATATCCGTGTGCAGTTTGTTTGTGCGCAGATGCAAACTGCACCTTAAACGCAATTCGTTGATTTTTTTCGAGCATGTGTGACACATTAAAAAGAATTGTTTACCTCTATCAATCGATAAAAATTGTATAAATGAAAACGAGAATTCTTTTTTTTCTTATCGAAATAATAGGAACGATCGATATATAATCAATGATAAAGTTTAACGCCGAATGATAATTTTCAAAGAAAAATACAACACACATTTAGATATTATTACTCGTATAGACTATTCCAATAGATTATTCCAATATACGTCGAACGACGATCAATCACTCGAGTCGTATCTTATACTTACATTTTTTTTTTTTTCTTTTTTTTTTTCTTTAATGAACAACGTAGAAAATTCAAGGAATGTCGAATGAATGTGTGAAAATTGAAAATTCTTGTTATGTTTAACGTAGAAATTGAAAAAGCGAATGTCGACGAATTGTAATCACATTGGTTCCAAGGACGACATGAAAGCCGGTTAAAATTCGACCAATCACGTGGCGCTTGGAATAACTGACAAAATACGCGCGCGTTTCTAGAGAACGACAATGGAATGAGAGCGCGACGCACGGTATTTATCCTTTCTTTCCCCTTGATAAGAAACACAAATGTACGGGGTTTACTCGTTGGAAGAAGAGATAATATGGAGGAAGCACTCGCATGTGCGATAATGAGAGTATATATATATATATATCTTTGCTTCTTCTATCGTTTTTAGGACACAATGGAGATGACAGTTTGAAGAACTTTAGCCGGAATACATTAAAAGAAACGATTGTAAAACAAGAACGGTAATTCTCAACACACGCTGGAGCGTGCTGCTGGTCAGCGACTGTCACTACTGCATACCGGAGTTACCATGTATGCGTGCAGGACCGTATCACGTCTCTTGAAAAGTCAGACCCATTCTCGATAATTTCTTTTTGATTTTATAAAAATAAACAAAAAATCTATCGTATCGTGTCAACATAATTATACAAATTTTTATAAAATTATACTGCGAATATAATAGTTATAGGTTAGAAAGATACTTCCCGAAGAAATTCGACGAAACTAAATACAAAGATGTATTTACAAAAGGTATCGTGCAAACGAATTTCCTTGTCGTATGTTACTCAATTTAAATACTTTTTAATGAGATTTATCATTTTCTACTTATTGGTATATTATTAGTTGTTGAAAAAAGAACATTATGTTTGAATATAATTCAACGTCGCATCTGAAATTATCGTCGTTACAGCACTGTCTATGGTGAGACGCTTGCACCATGCTGATTCGTGATTGGTCACATAAAACGATGCTGTGTTAACAACACACCCAACTAGCGCAGACTCGCGCCTGTCGACTGTGAAAATCCATATCAAGCGAGTATCGCCTATGTATTCTTTTTACATGCTAAATATCGATGCTATACTCTGAAACTTAGCATAAAATTGCCTTTCGTAAATGTAATCTCACTGGAAATATCTGAAGAACTGCACATTATCCTTAAGCTAATAACCTTATAACAAATAATAAAAAAAATTCATTATATACAAATATCTCAAAACCATTCAAAATCATTTATATAAAAATATCTATATTAAAAGCACAATAATATATACTATTATATATACTATTTAATATTTACTATTACTATATATATATATATAGTAATTTCAATGAAAACGAACTTTTCTTTCTTATATTTAATCAATAATTATATTGTTTTACTTATATATAAATTACATGATCTATTGAAATCAAATGATTCATATCTGACAGAATTATCTTTTAAAACTATTCGCGCTATTGTTTAAACAAATTTATTGAAAATCAAAGTCACTTTCTGTATTTGAAATATTTCTTTCGATCGTACTTTCCGTATCGGAATCCAATAAAGAATTAATAATGTCTTTCTTTTTCTTTGATTGATTTGTTCGTTCTACAGGTATTGATACTTGATCATTATCGCTAATAATATTACTCTGATTTATTGATTCTTTTTCTATTTCATTATTTGCAAAATTTTCTGTCACATCCTGAGCATCTATATTATCAGCATTGTAATCAATTTCCACATTAATAGCATCCTGATCAGTTTCTATGTTAACAGCATTCTGATCATTTTCTATCTTGATAACATTCTGATCAGTTTCTACGTTAATAACATTCTGATCAGTTTCTACAATATTATACTGTTCCATTAAATATTCTTCATTTGTTTCATTATCATTTATTTGATTAGTATCATAATTTTCATCATATACATTAGATTTATCCTCATGATAATCTTGATTTTCTTCTATATATTCTTGTTCAGAATCAGCTGGATATTGCTCATACGATTGTTCGAGATATTCATCTTCCGTTTTTATTGCATTTTGATCAATGATAGCGTCGTAATCATCTTTAATATATCCTTCATATTCTTGTTGGTTGTCATTATCTTCACATAACGCATTTTGATCATAATCATATTGTTGATTTGGTTCTATGAATTCTTGATTCACATCAGATCTATATGCAGTGTCTTGATCGAGTTCTTGAACGTTTTGTTCATTAGAAGCATAGTACTCGTGCGATGTATTCTGTTGCGGTAATTGTTCTTGTTGAATATCATCAATATTAATTATTTGACTGTTTTCTTCAATATTCTTATTTTCTTGATTTATCTCTATTTTATTATCGTCTACTTCATCTTCGTAACGCTGATTTTTATATTCAATATAATCACTTGTAAGTGGAATATCTTGAATTGATTCTTCCTTTTTATTGTTTTCACCTAAGTCTTGAGTGTTCAAAGTTATCTCTAAATTTTTATTCGTATCTTGTTCAATTGTATCGATTTCTTCGACAATTGCGTTTTCATATTCGCGGGATAGATTCGCTGCTACTTCGTTTTTTAGGATGACCGATGTTTCTGTAATCTGTTTCTCGTGTTCATCTTCGTTAACAAGTATGGTTTCTTTATTCTCGTTATTTTCAATCAAATCTTTATCTATCTCGTCTGGTTGTACTTCTATAACTTGTTTTATCATATGTTTAACATCCCAAGGATTCAATGATTCAGCATGAGAAAACTGTTGTGATATTTCTAGTTCTTCTGCTCTTTGTAGGATATAATCTTCCTTCGTCTGTTGCTCATGATTTTTTGCCACAGCTTTGCTGTTTTCGACTTTTGCATCTGCACTATTTTGTAAGATCATTTCCTCGTGTCCATTTGGATCTTGTATATTTTTAACCTCTATGTTGTTCCAGTTCTCTTTCTCAAGGTCTTGAATATTTTTGTCCGACTGTTCTAATTCTAGATTATGCGATGTAACATCATTATTAATATTACCCTTTTCCAACCTAGCAGATGTTTCAAATGTTTTATCCGACAGAACGTCGTATCTTGTCTCAGAATTAAGATTCATACGTTTATCTTCTGTATTTTGATCATTTTTAGGCACAGCCCCATTGATTTTCTTATTTTTATTGTCACAAGACAATTCCGTTTTACTAACGGAAGGCTTCTTAAATGCAAGATCATCGGCCAAAGCAAGAACTTTCGCAACTTCCTGAGATACACGTTCATCTTTCACTTTATCTGTAGGATAGTCTGTTCCATCATCGGAAAGCGTAATATTAAGAAGATCACCGCTCGTATTCTGTTCGTAATCATGTTCTTCCAAACTTTGTACATCTAATTCTCGATGAAGATTCCGAATTTTATTGATATATCTATCTAACTCGTTCTCCAATTTTCTCGTTGTCCTAGTCTCTTCATCCAAATCAGTATTTCCCCTTGGAATGTTTGATAATCCATGCATTGCTCTCCCCATGGTCATACTGCTTGTTGAATTTGGAATATTACGATAAAGCGAATTATCTCGTGAGAAAAAATGTGTTGGCATTTCTTTAGATTTTAAATCGTTATATGAATGTCCTGTTGGTCTATAGTTCGAGAAATAATCGATTTGTCCGTGAGATCTTGGAGACATTTCTGCCGGTATTCTACGCGGGGAATCAGCTTTTGTAATCTTTGTTGGCATCGATCCCAAAGTAGAGAATCTAAAGTTCGATCGTGGGACATTTTTGTATAAATCCGTATCACGATATAAAGTGTGTTGTGTAATCGGTATATCAGATTGACATTGAGCGGATGTCGACGCTATTTGACTTTGCGGAATGTTTAATAAATTACGCTGTAACATGTTTTCACTAATTAAAGCTTCGTTCGTAGCAGGATATGCAGCATTTTGGATTGGCTCCATATGGCTTGTTGATAATTTATTATACTGTGAAAGAAATGGTCGATTTAAGACTACATTCTCTAAAATCGATCTAGGCAAATACAGATCGGAAAGATTTCGATTATTTTCAAGATTCAATGGTGACACGAATTTATTATTGCAAATATCTTTTTGTGATTGTTGAATTTGCGGTAATGATATTTGTGACAATTGTAAATGTTGATTTTTTACGTCTTTTGGCGAATTAGGATTTTCTTCATATTCAGACCTTCTTCGAGAAACGTTTATCTTGTTGGATAACGTAGTAGGCGACGAAATGATTCTCGTTTGCGGTAGATTTTGTATATGCAATAATTGTTCGGTCTTCGATGGATTATTTGTTAATTTTTTATTAAATTGAACCGTAGAAAAAGGAATATTTTGATTTACTTGATGACTAAATTGTACGACAGACGAATTTTTCTTAAAATATCCTTCATCGATTTGACTTGCGACACCGCTATCACCAATAATACTACCTGGATTTTGACGATTTGCATAAACGCGCAATAAATAAGTTTCGTATTGTTTCTGTAAAATAAGAAAATAAACTAATTATTATTAAGTATTGTTAACAAAATGTAAATAATAAATGTAGTCTAAAATGTAATATGACATTGATGGTTCGTTCAATACGATCGATAAACAATGTTATAATATAAAATTAATAATATCATGGTACAAGGAAGTATTATGGTTTCTGTGCACGCAAAGTTAATATATGGATTATTTAAATGAAGGTAAAAATATTGAAATAATAAAAGAAACAGAGCTTACTCTGAGAACATTAAGTTTATCTGTTTTTGCGGTCATTAACGAGAGACTATTGTCAACCCTATCCAATGCACCAAGAAGTTTGTGGTTTCTTTCATCCCTTATTCGTTGTTCTTCTAAATATTCTATATACTTCATTCGCAATCGGCTTATACAAGTATCGTGTCTGCAAGTGGAGAATAACGTGAAATTATTTTTTTTTCTTTTTTTTTTTTTTTTTTTTTTATATAAATAAATATATATATAACTATTAAAGTAAAAACAAATCGTTAAATTTGTAAATAGTGAAAAAGAGAAAAAGAAAAGGAACAATTTAGAAATAGAGAAAGAATTTTAACTAAGTACGAGTGCAGTCGTTAAAGTAATTTAACCTGACAATTGGAATCTAAAAGAAACATTTCGTGACATTTAAGGGAAGGTCAAGCCTTCGGTCTTGCACGCGATGATATAGCTACAGGACGTTTTAAAGGATGATACGCGCAATAGAATATTGAGCTTAGCAAGAATACAGTTATATTGAGTTTTACGATCGATGAAATTTCTCAATGCTAAAAACACATACACGCACATTATGTACACGCGCACGCGAGCGTGTGTCTGTAAAAAAGAAAAAAAAAATAAATAGTATTATTAATAACATATTTTATCTTTGACTTCGATATGTATTATCTAAATTATTAAAGTTAATTAAAAGGAAACTTAACGATAAATACTACGATTTTGTTTGAAAAATGACATGTTTTTTCTATCACTATTATTATTTTAACTTTGTTATAGCCTTTAACCCTAATTTTCGATAAATCTTTTTAATGTGGTTTGATGATAGTCTTGATATTTTATTTCATGAATCACATATTTAAGACAATTACATAATAAAATTAATAAATAAACAATTACAAAATTCTTATAAAAATAAGTCGTTTTGCAATTACCTGTTACGAGATTCTTGTACCAATAAATTAAAACGTTCTTCCAATCGTATTCTTTCCTCTTCGCTACAACAATTATATATATATATATATATAAATATAATTCATACAAATAAACTGATTTTTCGAACAATGTTTGTAATATTTCGAAATACATAAGCGCACTTACCTTTTACGCAATTTACCCTGCAATTCGAGCATTTTTTTGTAATAATCGTGAACATCGTGTAACGATGTCATATTGTATAATTTAAATCGATAAAAAATTTGTCAATTTATCGATCACATCGATATTCGATATCGTACGGTCACGTGATCGAAAAAAATTCCGCGCGTTAGATCATCCTCTCCATTTGGAAATAGGATTCGATATGTAAATTTTATAAGAAATAGTCGATCGTTTCAAATCGAATAGTTTACATTTACACTTGATGAAATTTTCAAATTAACAAAATATATTTTGGATTAATAATGAAAAAATTTTTTTCGAGAGCACGAACGACCCTTCGTCATACGAATACAACGAGGAACTGTCGCGTTTTATGAAGCATCGCGCAGAAAGAGGGGTGTTTCGATAGTCAAGCACGCAGGTGTTGTTGGATACGTTACATACTTCTATAACATGCGGGTAAATATCATAATGATATTTCTACAATTAACTTATTTTCAAACTTTTACCATCACACGAAACGATGGCTAATTAAGTTAAAAACAATATAGTAATAGATACTATATATTATATTATATTATATTATATTATATTATATTATATTATATTGTATTACATTTTTAATGCAATGTTAATAATAATAAGTAATATACACTTATGTACTAGATGAATCTAAATAAGAAAAATTAAAGAATTTATATCCATATTTTATTTCTCAAAATTTTTAATTTTTTAATAAACATGAGCTTGACAATTATTTAGCTTTTCAGATACAAATGCTTTTAGTTATGTATAATATTGTTTCATAGCAAGTATCCAAAATAACCTCCATTGTCAATTGGATAAACATTAATATATTTTATCATAATTGTTCGGCGTAGTTTTAGAAGTTCCAATACTAATTATTCTTACCACTAACTATTTGTAAAGTTTAGAATAATACATTTTTTTTTATTCATCTGATTCTTTTGAAATTTTGATATATGTTGTACATAAGTGTTCTGTTAACTCTGGTACAGTCGAGGTAGCCATATAAAATATTTGCTTTAGGGAATTTCCATTAATTTCGAATTCTCTACATGTCTACAAGGAAGATAACATGAGTTTCATAGAAGAAACAAAGTGAAAATAATTATAGAAAAAATGATCATACCTCGATTACGTTAGGTAATTTCATTCCTTCACTTTGTCTTATAATTCCGGTGCTTTTTAACTTAATAATATTATTTTCAATTGTACCTTCCTCGATTGTAGTCAATCCAAAATTGTGGGCTAAGAGTAAAGATACTTTGTTTGTTCCTGGTATAACTTTCATGAAACCAACTTCACGATGTAATGGTTTCTTTGATGCAGAATCCCAACTTTGTGCAACATAGTTGAACATTGGTTGGCCGATAGATGTAAAAGTGATTTCTTCACAAAAGGTAAATGGTTTTATTGTTGGAAATTGTCCTGATCCATAATTATCTTTGCCTGTACTCCATTTACCTTCTAAGAAAGCTATTGGCTTCAAAGCATCATGCATTCCTAATCGATTCATATTTATGTTTGTGAAGTATCTAATCTGTAAAAAATCAAAAATTATAAATAATACATTACAAAGAAACGAATCAAAAGATGAATGAAAAATATCTATGCAAAAAAAATGTAATTCTAACCTCCTAATTATATAAATTTATTACAGATTATAATTGTTATTATAACACTTATTTATAATCTAGTAATATTATTATATCTGTTTTTATGTTATAACAATTATTTTAGTATGTTTCTTTTTATCAGAATTCACATTAATAAATGTTTATCGAATGTCAAAGCTCATACCATTTTCTAAAAGCCCGCTTGTAATTGATCACAATATGGCTTCCGCATTCATTTTTCACGCTTTTATTTTAGGAATCTTTATCCACTGTACTTTCGTTTATACGTTTTACCATTGTTCGTTCAGTATATGACATTTATAATTCATTTAATTTGTTAGCATAGTTTTTATTATTCACAATTTCAAAGTGTGTTATAACATAACCATCTCTAAATTTTTTTGTACGAAATAATTTCAAAAAGCCGTTGAATATATATAATAATTGTTAATTTAATATTTCACAATTTTTAAACTAATTTGTATTACATTATGTTATAACGATATAAAAAAAAAAATGTGATATTGATAGTCGATGTTTTTTTTCGTATTTTAGCATGAAGTCAACATTATTACATGTCAAATTGACATATGAGAGTGTAATATGTTTACGGAAACAATAAGCATTACTCATTCACCAAATTTGGTTGGTAATAAAATAAAATAGAAGAACTAATGTGCTCTTATAAAATGGAGAAGCGCGCGGTTCTTAATTCTATATACAAGTGTTTTTTCTAAAATGTTAATTTTGAATTAGCATTAACCACAATATAAAGGATATTTTATTTAAATCATCATTGTCATAAGTTTTTGTATAATTGTATCTAGAGTATATTAAGAACAATATAAAAATATGGCAGTATCGATCAGTGAAATTTGTGAAAATACAAAACTTGCACGTGAAATGGCATTGACTGGAAATTATGATACATCTGGTGTTTATTATCAAGGTGTGGTTCAACAAATTCATAGACTGCTTGCAAGCATAGCAGATGCAACAAGAAAGGCTAAATGGCAATTGGTACAACATCAAATTGTTCAAGAATTTGAAAGAGTTAAAGCTACATCCAATACTTTACAGCTTTTTAAAGTTGACACACATGGTGACAGGGTAATAGGTAAAGTAGTTAAAAATTTATATATATATATATTGTTTTATAAAAATGTAATATATATAGGTACATCATGTTTGTCATTTGAAGAACCAACTAGAGATCCGACATCATGGCCTTATAATAATGCAGATATTTCGTGGAATCAAACACCAGCTCGTGATCCTGATGTTTGGCCACCTTTAAGTGCTGCAGAACAAAAGTAACAATAATTTTACATTTTTCTTTAATATTTTATACAATAAAAAAATGTTTCTGAAAATATATTAAAATAATTAATATAATTTTAGAAATACTAGACAACAAAAAGGACAACAGAAACAACAAAATCGTACAAATTTAAGAAGATCTATTCCTACAGGGAAAAAACCAGAAAATAAAACAGTCAACAAGAAAGATGATAGAAGAACATCTAAAAGAGATGATTCTAACAAGGTATCTTAATATTAATTAGGATATTATATCTCTATGATTATAATCATTTATTTTATTAAATTATATTTTTATAGGAAAGATCAGAAACAGAAAAAGTGGATATAGAAACAGAGGAACGTAAATTTGAACCATCTGGAAATGATAGAGATCTTGTTGATTTATTGGGTAAGTTAATATATTATCCAAGTATCATAATATAAATATTATTATAGTAAATTAGAATATATATATATATATATAAATTTTTGTAGAAAGAGATATAGTTCAAAAAAATCCAAATATTCATTGGGATGACATAGCAGATTTACATGAAGCAAAAAGATTATTGGAGGAAGCTGTTGTCCTTCCAATGTGGATGCCAGATTTTTTTAAGGTATATTTACTCATAGGTAACTATGTCATTAGTTATTTGTTAATAATTATTTATATGGTAGCAGGATTATTATTTATTTATTTATCAAACAAAAGCAAAAACAAAAGTAGCTCTGCATTTTATTTTATTAGGGAATACGGCGACCATGGAAAGGTGTACTTATGGTAGGACCACCAGGTACAGGCAAAACTATGCTTGCTAAAGCAGTAGCTACGGAATGTGGAACAACATTTTTTAATGTTTCATCATCTACACTTACATCAAAATATAGAGGAGAATCAGAAAAACTTGTACGATTACTCTTTGAAATGGTAATAATGTTTACTAATAATAAAAATATGAATGATAATTTTTATTTACAATAAATTGTTATATATATATATATTTATTTATTTATTTATTACAATTTTTTATATATTATATCAGGCTAGATTTTATGCGCCAAGTACAATTTTCATTGATGAAATCGATTCCTTATGCTCTAGAAGAGGATCGGAATCAGAGCATGAAGCCTCACGTAGAGTAAAATCTGAACTTCTCGTACAAATGGATGGAATAAGCTCTAATAAGTAAGAATTATAAGTTTGTGATAATTAAATTAAATTAAATTCGTTTCTGTCAATCAAAAATTTATTATATTCTTCAGTGAAGATCCTAGTAAAGTAGTAATGGTATTAGCAGCTACTAATTTTCCATGGGATATAGATGAAGCACTTAGAAGGAGACTAGAAAAGCGTATATACATTCCTTTACCGAACCGTAAGCTTCATGATTTTTTTTTTTGTATAATTTAATTTTTCATACTTGCATAATGGATATTGCATAAAAGTTTTCATATTTATAAATATGAATATACGATCGTATAGATGTCATATAAGCTATAATTGTTTCTTGTAGAAATCATATAGTAAACAAATATAGTATATTTATTAACTCTCAATAAAGGGTATTTATTTTACAGATGAAGGTAGAGAAGCTTTGTTGAGAATCAATCTTCGTGAAGTTAAAGTAGATTTATCTGTAAATCTTGCAGATATTGCAAAGAAACTTGAAGGTTATTCAGGAGCAGATATTACAAACGTGTGTAGGTATGTAAAATTTAACATAGATTTATTTTATTTATATTTTTTTTACCACGTATAATATTTTCAATATCAGAATCAAAATGTATTAGAAAATAAATACACACATGCATATGTGTATGACATTTTATATTTAGAGATGCTTCTATGATGTCAATGAGAAAAAAAATAGCAGGTTTAAAACCAGATCAGATACGACAATTACCAAAAGAAGAACTAGATTTGCCTGTATCTGCTACAGATTTTGATGAGGCTGTAGAAAGATGTAATAAGAGTGTATCACAAGAAGATCTGGAGAAATATGAAAGATGGATGAGTGAATTTGGTTCATCTTGATAATATTCTTAGTAAAAAAATATTTCTCATTTTAATGTAGATGACACTTATCAATTGATATCTTAAGATATATTCCAGATTACTTTTCTATTTAAACATATATATATATATGTATATCTATATATATATATACATGCATATATGTATATTAAAAAAATTTATAGAGACCATATGAGAACTCGAAATGCTCAAATATCTAATAATTTTAATATATAGAAGCTTGAAGAAATAGAAATAAAAATCATATATGTATATAATTAAATTTTAAGCACAAACGTTAAGTACATTATCTTGTGAGTCGTATTATATTCTATTTTCCAACAAAATATGAATAAGAGAGTATTTCAACTTATACACCCAATACATTTATATTAATACAAATATATTCATTTTTTATGTACATTCATAACAAACTTTAACTTTTTAATATTTTTTGGGGGCACAACCTTCATTTCTCAGTCTTTTAGTTTCATCGTCAATATTTTTCGTTTCTTTTGGAGCTTTATAATTGGCTACATGGTCCACGCGTATTGTTCTACCTAAAATCTATACAATAACAGAATTAAAATTAATATCATTCGCTAGAAAAGTAAATTTTGCAAACCATTCATAATATTTCATTCATATACCTTAATACCATTAAAATTATCAACTGCTAGCACAGTACTCCTTTGATCTTCATAACATAAAAAACCATATCCTTTTTGTTTGCCAGTGTCCTTATCACGTACTAAATTTATATTTACAATTTCACCATATCTGCAACATATTTATAACCTAAATAATAGATGCCTCTCACATATGTACATGCCATGTCAATAAATACATCAATTGAAAAGTCTAATTTAAATCTAACATAAATCTAATAGTATATATAAATATATTACATAATTTTGTATCTAAAAAATTTTAATTAAACAAAACATATCCTTGTGAATATTAATATACAATAATATTAAATATTAAAAACTCTATCTTGAATGTCAGTTACCTAAATGATGTCATTAGATAAAGAGTATTTTTATTATTAAAAATGGAATACTTTTATGTACATACATATTTAATAAAAATATTATTTTGAACTTACTGAGAGAATACTGCAATAACATCACCTTCAGTCAAATCATATGGTAATCCACCAATAAATATCCAAGCACTATCTTTATATTGGTCATGCCAAGATGTTTTTTTATTACCAATTAAATCTTGTTCAGCAAGTTTTGTTATATTTTTTACATTTCTACAAGCATAATATTAATTATATTTAGATATATGATGTACAAATAGTATAATAATAATAATAATAATAATAATAATAAAAAAATAATTAAATATTAACTTTATAATACAATACTTACGTTAAAGGATTCATATTGATTTAATCTAAAATTATTAAAAATTCACAAATGTTTAAGTTTACGTATTAAATCATAATAAATCTTAAATTATACATTTATGTGAAGTAATTTTTAAAATTATTCTTTAATAATAATTCATTTTTAAATTATTTCTTCTTTATTTAATATTTGAATATAAATTTAATAAAATTTGTAAAATATAAATTTTTCGATATGAGTCTGTCTTTGTGCGATAATATTTATTAAAACGTTTATTAAATTATTGTTAATTTTAAGCAATTTTGTTTTGTATAAAAAACATCTATTCGGATGTATTCACGCACAGCTGAAATGAGTAGTAGAGGTATATTCCGCTTCATGCATCAAGCGCTCTAGTCTCAGATTGACGTATACATGCAATGACGTAATTTGGCACGAAATATAAAAGTCTTTAGAAGATTACATGTTATTTTCAACATCATCATCTCCCAATTTCTTTAAACGTTTTATCAAATCATTTGTTACATATGCTTTAAATGATTGCTTATCAATGTCCTTCATAAAACTGAAAATTTTACATTTTTTAAGGTTTAATACGCACGTAATATAAAAATAGTTATAATATTTTATATAATTACAATTCATACTTCTCTAAGCTATAAATTTTATCAACTTCTTTTTTTATTGTTTCCACATATTTCTTCCTTATATTATTAAACAATTTGATTAGTTGTTTTTTATTCATAGTTGCAATAGATTCTTCTGTGAATAATATATGAATTGTAATTTATAGATATTGTTTTTTGCTTATTTTAAATTACTTTATCAAGTTATATAATCAAGTACCGAATGAATATTTTATATTGTAATGTAAAATATAAGTTATTATACTTGATAAATTTAATTCCTCCATAAACCTCTTAAGTGAATCAGAAGAAGTATGAGCTTCAAGTAATATATTATATTTATGATTAATTTGTTCAATGCAAGGAAGTGGACCTCTTGACAGCATTTCAGTATATGTTAAACTTATTATTTTAGATACATGTTTTTCCAACATTTTCTTCCTTTCACATGATGTTCCACACGGTTGAAAATTCAAATTCTTGTTTGTGGATTTAATTAAATTTTTATTCTATACATGTCATTTATCAACTAGTAAGAATATAATGCAGCTACATTTACTAATTACTGACCATGTCTTCATTAAAGAATTTTTTATTATCATCTAATGATTCAATGTCCTTTGGAATAATAATTACTGATTTTTCTGTTTTATTCACTACAGGTTCATTATGTACAGATTCTTGTGGTAATATATTATTTTCTTCTGTATTAATTAACTCTTGTTCACTTAACTGTTTATCTTTTTGTTCATTTTTGTTTATATATTTTAAAAAGATTCCCAATTTTGCATATTGTTTAATGAGATTGTCTTGAACCGTTTGAATGCACAAATTAATATCATTCGTGTATATGCCATCACTATCTTTCAGTTCTTGTAAAAATTTTAAACACCAGTGTAATTGAGGAATACCTGATAAAATTAATTTATTATTCTATGATGGATTACTTTATATATATATAATATGTATTATGTTTACTTGGAAATTTTTTTTGTTGTTTAGAAAAGAGTAGCCATATTACACCAAAGGCATGATCCTGGAAATGTCGATCATCGAATACCATTGGAGATATCTTAAAGAAATACAAGACAGGTTCAAAATCGAAGATAGTAAAGCTTTCTTCTAGTTTTTCGCTATTAAATAGAATTATGTCCTGTGAATAAATAAATTAATATTTATAATTGTTATCCATCATGATATTTCTTACGGTTTCACATCAACGGCTTCTTTTGTCTCTTCCGTATCGTCAACATCGATTATATTTGCTGTAATTGGCTCTTTTTCCGTTTTGATAATTTTTACTTCTGTATCATCTTCCGATTGAGGGATGATAGGGATTTCTGATTCTATTTGATCTTCTAATTGAGGAGTGATAAGGGATTTTGTGTCTATAGCATCATTCTCTGGCTCATCTATTTTAATGTTTTCCATTGTATACTGAAATTTATCCTTTTGACAATTTTAAAATTAATTTAACCTTAAAATGTTTCCATATTTATGATAATATTACAAAATTATAATGTTTCAATTATTTTTTTTATCAGTCATATTAATTTATTAAAGAGATTGCGCACAGATCACATAGTTAGAACAATACAGAATCGAATTATATGAAATGTTTAAAACTAAAAATTATTATTTATTTATTAATATTGTCTATTAATAATAAAACTGATAAAAGTGATAAGATTTATTGAAAATATAATGAGATTAATAACGTTTATGAATGTATCAGTTAATGAGATCGCTTATAAGTATATCTTCTTCGTTTAGTTTTATGTCACTTTTCATCGTCTTCGTATATTCAATCAAGTTGGCTTCCTTAAGATCTTCCAAAATTTGTAAAATTTTAGCGATATTGTATGGATAACCATCATCTCCTTTAAAATTTTGAAAATATGTTTTCGTCGATCTCACATGTTCGGCTGTAATGTCATTATAAGAATGATTGGCAATCATCATCACTGTACTAATAACTATGCCGCACATATGTATCTGAAATATATAATTTAAAAATTATAACATTTCTTAATATTGCGATTAATTTTTGTATTATAAATAATACTAATGATATAAGTTAACAGCGTAAATATATTATATAAATTACCGTATCGTATTTTTTTTTATTTTTTGTCAATGAGCAGAATTTAGAACAGTTTAAATTGGTCTCCAGAATATCATCAATATGAGTATTATTACTTTTTATTAATTTTGGTTGATGGATCATTGTCTAAAAGAATATATTTATATATATATATATATATATATATATAAATTTAGAAATATATTAACGATATTTATCATTTATGAAATTACGTTCAGCGAAGATGTTTTATCTTCGGTAATGAAACTATTACTATCTTGACTATCTATCTCTGATTGCTTCAATTCATGAAAATAGCCTCCAGGACGTGGTACAATGTAAGATAGTTCTACATACTTTTTTTTAGAAGAATCCGAAATACGTTCGATTTTACTGTTACTCATTATATCATAATTATTCAGTTTTTCTTTCGACATATTTACATGGATTTTTTATTCTCATCTGTATTTATTATCATCATTGTTACTATTATAGCATGTATCTTTAATTTAAAAATTTGAGATGGAAAGCAACATCTTCATTTGAAGATTTAAATTAGTACATATGTCAGAAACATACGTTTCGTAAATCCTCATCCAAAGATTTTTGTTTATTTCAAAGAAAGAATGCGTGACATTTAAAACAAAAGATATTTTATCAATATGTCATATTCCGTCAAAGGAACCGAATCTTCTACTTGTCAAATCTAATACACATTCTTTAGGCCCCACAAATATCAAAATTCTCGTAATCAATAATTGGCATAAACGTAAAAATAAATACTTTGATTATTTTTCATGTGAAATATCTACGATATGGCTTATTAGAATCATAACTAAAGACATGAGAAATTACAAGGTTAATTTTCATTATCGCCGAGAAAAACTATCAACGATAATATTGAAAAAAGAGAGAAATCTTATTTAACTGGGTAATATACTTAACTACGAATTTTTGTTTCGATCGAAACATGTACGATTTATCATTAATTCTTTATAAATCTTTAAGGATAACCCATTTGTGAGATCAATAGAAAACCAAATGAAAAATAGGATTGGACTGTTTATGTTTGTATTTTGACTGAGTATGAACTGAAGTAACAATGGCCACCCGTAGACCAGGTCTTACAAAAACCCAAGCTTTACGCCAAGCAAGATCTTCGGCGCTTGTCAAGCAATATGCGGAAAAGAAAGAAACTATTGAGCAACCTCAGCCAGAACCACCGAAGAGACGAAGAATAGCACCGACCCATGAGCCGAAAAAAGTTGACTTCACTAAACCGGGTTTAACGAAAGCTATGCTAGCACGAAAAAAGCATGCGGAGCAATTTAAAAAAGAATATGAACGTAAAAAGGAAGAGGAAACCGCACATGTTGGCCGTCGACCGAAACGAACAGCAGCACCGATCGGTGGTGATGCTAGGTTTGTGATTACGATATTTCATCTCAAACCAAGCGATATTACCTTTTGCTTTTAATTAGGGTGGGTCGAGAAAGAATGCCGAAAAAAGACGTTTCTCGAAAAACACCTTCCAAAGCGTTACCACCAATACCAGAGAAAACTCGTCAGCTTGCAAAAACTATCAAAGCCGATGTCGTTCGAGCCGAACCGGTAGGTAAAGGACCGATCGATAGTATCGTCATACCAGCGGGAACGATTAAAGATAATCGTACTACGATCGTTAGTATTCCTCAACCAGCAGAAGTCTCTAAAATAGCTGATCGTTCGATGCAAGTAATCAGGTGCCTTTTCCAAAATCGATTTCTTACGTGAATCAGTTATAATAAATTAACAAATAGTAGTACGATTGTGCATATGAACTTTAATATCCAATTAAATTACATTATTATTAGCGAAACCTTAGACGAGCAGGATGCCGTCGAAGCTGCAGCTGTACAATCGAAGCTTGATGGTTTACAGCAAGCAAGAAGAGATTTTGTAATGACTGTAGCGAATATCAGTGGAAAAGTAACCGCTATCGATCAAGTGCCCGCTATAGAACTTGAAAGCCCACCTAGATATTTGCATAGGTCCGAAAGCTTGATCTTCTTTCATATTTACGTGGCAAATGTTTTTTATACAGTTATATATTGATTATTAATGAATTTTAATTCTCTAAGATAAAAGAATTTTAATATTCTCGTAGAGTACCGGAATTAGATGATCCATATCTGCGTATAGAATATACCAAAGATCATCCGATCGTAGAGGCTGCCCGTGAATTTATGCAGAAAAGCCTTAACGCTATGAGAGAAAGTGAAGCGGCAAAAAGATGGGATGACGAGATTAAACAAATCTCTAAGGTGGCAACAGAAATAGCTCTGGGTCTAGAGGATGAACTTCCTTTCCATGAGGAAAAGCTTATAGAATTCGATGAGGATGAACAATACCATCCGCCTCCTACTCCACCGGGTTATTATGGTAGACAAATAGCTGATGAATCACCTATAGCCCCTCGCAGGGATATCTATGAATATGGAAGCTTTGATCCGGAAGAATTGGAAAGATTCTTTGATATCGAACATTATCCACCTTTCGCTATGCCACCAGTAGGCCGGGAAACTCTTCCTCCCGATCTTTGGGAAATGGAGGATCCGTGGTATATACCACCTTCAGAACCTGACCAGCCGCCTTTGATTCAATTTGATTAGCGATTAGTTGATGATAATAACGAACAAAATAATCATTTCCGCAATCGACAGGAATTTCACTTTTTGTCTTTCGTTCGTTCCTTTTTCATAACAATATAAATCGACTAGTGGTTCGCCTAGTTTTATGTTTTATTGTTGGTATCATTCAAAATTATTCAGGATATTTGTATCTTAATTATTAGTCGAAATAAATTGGACGATAATAATTGGACGATTTTAAAAGATGCAAATCTATATTTTTAAACGATAGTTCTCCAGTTCAAGTACTTAGTGAAAAAAATACAGATTTTTTTCTTATTCCTTTTTTTTTTTTGGCTCTTTAACTTCTTTCGTGTTATTCACGAACATTATTTTGAGATTCTCTTGTGTGTCGGCTTTGTTGTTTTAAATTCTCTTCGATTTTATCGCGTAAAGTTTCAGTTAGACCTCGGGGCTTTTTTATCATAGATGACAATCGTTCTTTTGTAACCTGCAATCAATTTCATACAATTAATAAATGGGAATATAATATTTTAATAATATTCGAAATAAGCGTGTACGTATGTGTTTTTTAAAAAAAGATATAATAATCATAATTTTCGACGTACTTGTATTTGTCTTGCCGATACAGCAGGTATTTGTTCTTTAACGATAGGCGGTTTAGAAAGCCACCAGACCTATCGAAAGTATCTAAGTCAATCGATAAAATGACAATTACGTATATCAAAGATATTGGATCTTCATAATAATATAAAATATAATTGAATTAATAGATTTAGTAATTACGATATACGTTTCATCGTTTAACTATCTGAATTTTATATATTAAGTTGCCAATTATTTACCCGTTCCATTGACGCATTTTTATCTTCATAGTTTCCAAAATTTGTTTCATTTCTATCGACAAATAATATATCCTTAAGATATTCTTCCTTTTGAAGCTGAGTCTCTTCTATATACCTATTATTTACTTTGTTGATATATATCGATGAACGAATAAAATATTTATTAGTATTTTGCCATAGAAATATGTTTCACATTAATTTAATTTACATTTTACTTATAGTTAATCACTTACTGTTTGTCATTCTATTTTTAATAATATCCTCCGTTTCTAAAAGACTAATTTCTTTTTCATATTTTTTTTGTTACTAATGCTTTATGATGATCTAATTTAAATTATTGACAAAATTGGTAAGATAAGGTATATATTTAATCTAATAGCGACTAAAATGTACGGTAAATGTTCATCTTCATCTGAAATTTACTGTATATAAAATTAGAGATATATCGATGTTAATATATCTAAAGATTGATAATACGTGACAGCAATGACTATAAATTTGCTTTTACCTTAAGGGTGTTCATCACACCTGTTATTGTAATGATTTAAGCAAAAAGCAAGTTTAATTTTTGATCGATTTTAATACACGAGATCTCATTTTGAAGATAAAAGTTTAAGCGAAGACATGGGTTTTCCGAATTTTGTAAGAAATTATATTTTTATGCATAAATAATTCTCGAAATAACAAAATCTTTTGACATCATATTTTGAGAAGAAAAAAGGGCTCTTCAAAAATTCAAAAAATCTATGTCCTCGATTATCGACGAGTTAACAACAAAACTTATTCTTTTCAAAAGCGAAAACATATAAATTAATACTTTTGATAATTTTTCAACTATTTCAATAGTCTTTAAAGTGTACCAAGCACAATAAAATAATATTTAAGCAACAGTACATTCGTTTAAACATTACAAAGATTGTAATACACAAAAAAATAAAAATAATTTTAATTAAAAATTTCGATACCTTAAAGTTTCATCTCAGGATTGTGGCCTTGCATGATATAAACATACACGGTCCTTCTATTAACTTTGACAATTACCGAGTTAGTTTTCTTTTGCACTCTGACATGTGCACATCAAGATCCGCTCTTTCTAAACGTGGAAGCTTATAAATTAATACTTTCGGGAAATTTATAATTATTTAAACAATCTCTAGTGTACGCGGTGTAAAATAAAGTATTATTTAAACAATAGTGCATTTATTTAAACATTAAAAAGAGGATAACGCGCACGGGACTTAAAATATTTTTAATTTAAAATTTCGATACTTAAATACTTTCATCTCGCGGTAGTTGGCCTTGTGTAACATAAATATAAACGCGCTTTTTCGTGACTTTGACAGGTATCGAGTCAGTTTACTCTTGCACTTTGACATGTGTACATCGTGATCCGCTCGTTCTAAACGTGAAAGCTTATAAATTAATACTTTCGGGAAATTAATAATTATTTAAACAATCTCTAGTGTACGCGGTGTAAAATAAAGTATTATTTAAACAATAGTGCATTTATTTAAACATTAAAAAGAGGATAACGCGCACGGGACTTAAAATATTTTTAATTTAAAATTTCGATACTTAAATACTTTCATCTCGCGGTAGTTGGCCTTGTGTAACATAAATATAAACGCGCTTTTTCGTGACTTTGACAGGTATCGAGTCAGTTTACTCTTGCACTTTGACATGTGCACATCGTGATCCGCTCGTTCTAAACGTGAAAGCTTATAAATTAATACTTTCGGGAAATTTATAATTATTTAAACAATCTCTAGTGTACGCGGTGTAAAATAAAGTATTATTTAAACAATAGTGCATTTATTTAAACATTAAAAAGAGAATAACGCGCACGGGACTTAAAATATTTTTAATTTTAAATTTCGATACTTAAATACTTTCATCTCGCGGTAGTTGGCCTTGTGTAACATAAATATAAACGCGCTTTTTCGTGACTTTGACAGGTATCGAGTCAGTTTACTCTTGCACTTTGACATGTGCACATCGTGATCCGCTCGTTCTAAACGTGAAAGCTTATAAATTAATACTTTCGGGAAATTAATAATTATTTAAACAATCTCTAGTGTACGCGGTGTAAAATAAAGTAATATTTAAACAATAGTGCATTTATTTAAACATTAAAAAGAGGATAACGCGCACGGGATTTAAAATATTTTTAATTTAAAATTTCGATACTTAAATACTTTCATCTTGCGGTAGTTGGCCTTGTGTAACATAAATATAAACGCGCTTTTTCGTGACTTTGACAGGTATCGAGTCAGTTTACTCTTGCACTTTGACATGTGCACATCGTGATCCGCTCGTTCTAAACGTGAAAGCTTATAAATTAATACTTTCGGGAAATTAATAATTATTTAAACAATCTCTAGTGTACGCGGTGTAAAATAAAGTATTATTTAAACAATAGTGCATTTATTTAAACATTAAAAAGAGGATAACGCGCACGGGACTTAAAATATTTTTAATTTAAAATTTCGATACTTAAATACTTTCATCTCGCGGTAGTTGGCCTTGTGTAACATAAATATAAACGCGCTTTTTCGTGACTTTGACAGGTATCGAGTCAGTTTACTCTTGCACTTTGACATGTGCATATCGTGATCCGCTCGTTCTAAACGTGAAAGCTTATAAATTAATACTTTCGGGAAATTAATAATTATTTAAACAATCTCTAGTGTACGCGGTGTAAAATAAAGTATTATTTAAACAATAGTGCATTTATTTAAACATTAAAAAGAGGATAACGCGCACGGGACTTAAAATATTTTTAATTTAAAATTTCGATACTTAAATACTTTCATCTCGCGGTAGTTGGCCTTGTGTAACATAAATATAAACGCGCTTTTTCGTGACTTTGACAGGTATCGAGTCAGTTTACTCTTGCACTTTGACATGTGCACATCGTGATCCGCTCGTTCTAAACGTGAAAGCTTATAAATTAATACTTTCGGGAAATTAATAATTATTTAAATAATCTCTAGTGTACGCGGTGTAAAATAAAGTATTATTTAAACAATAGTGCATTTATTTAAACATTAAAAAGAGGATAACGCGCACGGGACTTAAAATATTTTTAATTTAAAATTTCGATACTTAAATACTTTCATCTCGCGGTAGTTGGCCTTGTGTAACATAAATATAAACGCGCTTTTTCGTGACTTTGACAGCTATCGAGTCAGTTTACTCTTGCACTTTGACATGTGCACATCGTGATCCGCTCGTTCTAAACGTGAAAGCTTATAAATTAATACTTTCGGGAAATTAATAATTATTTAAATAATCTCTAGTGTACGCGGTGTAAAATAAAGTATTATTTAAACAATAGTGCATTTATTTAAACATTAAAAAGAGGATAACGCGCACGGGACTTAAAATATTTTTAATTTTAAATTTCGATACTTAAATACTTTCATCTCGCGGTAGTTGGCCTTGTGTAATATAAATATAAACGCGCTTTTTCGTGACTTTGACAGGTATCGAGTCAGTTTACTCTTGCACTTTGACATGTGCACATCGTGATCCGCTCGTTCTAAACGTGAAAGCTTATAAATTAATACTTTCGGGAATTTCATAATTATTTAAACAATCTCTAGTGTACGCGGTGTAAAATAAAGTATTATTTAAACAATAGTGCATTTATTTAAACATTAAAAAGAGGATAACGCGCGCGGTATTTGAAATATTTTTAATTTAAAATTTCGATACTTTAAAATTTTCATCCCGTATTTGTTAGATTGTTTTTTTGTTAATATATACCATCTTTTTATTGACTTGGACAATTACCGAATCATATCTCCTTTGTTTTTTGACGAGTAAACATCTAAAGTGTCTCAGAATGTCTTTGCTGCAAGTATCAACGAATATTAAGGTAAATATATTTTTATATCTTACGTCTCTTCAATAATTTATACAGTTTCTTATTATAGCGGTGATATTAATAATTTTGTTTTTATTTTGTTGTTTCAGAACGTCATTACAATCGCTCGGGAACCAATGTTGTAATCGAATATTTGTATCTCTTAAATATATATATCGCGAAGTAGAAGCAGTGTTCGTTCGTTCGCGTTTCGTGATTTAAAAAGCAAAAGTTTTTGCAACGTCTGCGTGCAATGCAGTCGTTAGAGTCAGTGTTTGTTCGCAAACTTTATTAATTTTTTAACAGTCACATAGGCTGTATTTATAAAAGACAGTAGTGTTTCGCGAAGTAAATTCAGTGACCGTTCGTTAAAAAATAACTATCGCGATATAGAGTCAGTGCATCATTGAAGAGTTTCTTGATCAACTTCGATGTCGACCTACCTAATTTTCAACCATATACG